ACCTACGAATAAAACAAATACATGATTGCATTCAGAGATCCAAAGGAATACTTGATTTTCATCACTGTTGCAGAACTTTTTGTGGGAATTTGTGGGAAATTCAGTGAAAAATCATCAGCATGTATGTACAAAGTGACCAAGAGAGACTGGAAATGAATTTGGCAAAGCTAGGTTAGGACAATGGAAACATTGCAAATCAGAGAAATTTGCGATCTCAAGTTTTAGAAAGTATAGGCTGAAAAAATAATGTGAGCTTTTATGTAAAAGATGTTCATAAAAACCACAATAGTGCTCACTGGGAGATGATAATACCTTAGTCAGAAGCCCCGGACGGACGGACAGATGGCTATGACTCGCTACCATGTTACTCATTTACTCACAAGCAAACTTCACTAAGTCTCAGTCTTCTGAGCTATAAAATGGATACAAATTCTGTAATAGTGGATATAGGAATTTAGCAAGGGCTGAAATGCAAGAAATGCAGCACAGAAAGACAGCCTCATCAAAGAAGAGAGGACAGCATGAGAATATCTAAAATATGTTTAGAGATTCAGAAACACAAGGACTATGACAAAGAATGTCTGAAGTGATGAAAGACTTTAATCCTCTTATTTAAAAAGCCTGCAAGTCCCAAGCAGAATAATTGTTTAAAAAGTATATCATGTAAACTGAAGACTACCAAAGACACACACACACACACACACAAAAATCCTAAACAATAGCCTGCAAAAAAGATGTATCTATAAATAAGTATCGATTAGAGTGGTAGCTGACTTCTCAACAATAACAATGGAGGTCAACTAACAAAAGAACAGTAACTACAATGTATTGAAATAAAATCGTTATCAGTCCAGAATTCTATACACAATGGAAACAGCTTTAAAAAATGAGGGCATTCTTTAGAGTTAAATATGACTAAAATGGTTTTATGTTATGTATATTTTGTCACAACTTAAAAAAAACATTAACATACCAAAAACCATTTAATTATACACTTTAAATCAGTTAATTGTGTAGTATGTTAGTTATCTCAATAAAACTGTTAGAAAAAGAATACAGGCAAAATTTTAAAAAATACCAAACCCTTACTAACGATAAATTCTAAAAAATGTACTTTCAGAAAAAGAGGTAAAATATGTGGGCAAGTCTAATAAACAAGGACTATATAACAATATATTATTACTTTAAAAAAATAAACTTAAAATGCATTACAATAGTATCTAATTTGAAAGGGTGTTCTTAGAGCTGTATAAGGTCCCTGAGTAGTCTGAAAGTAAAAAGTACTAACTTAACTTTGATAAATTAGTATGCAAGATATAATCTTGCGTCATTCTAGAAACCCAACAATATTAGAAAGAGTGCTTAAGTTTCAAATTAATAGAAAACATGAAATTATTTTTTAAAGATTTTATTTATTTATTTTTAGAGAGGGGAAGGGAGAAAGGGAGAGAAACATCAATGTGTGGTTGCCTCTCGTGCACAACCTGGCCCACAACCCAGGCGTGTGCCCTGACTGGGAATCGAACCGGCAACCCTTTGGTTTGCAGGCTGGCATTCAATCAACTGAGCCACACCAGCTGGGGTTATTTTTAAAATCTGAACAAAGGCAAGGAAGTCAAGACAAAGAGTAAGAAAGCGTCCATAAAGATTTGTATCCAAATATAGACTAATTAAATTAAATATAATTTGTCTAGCCAGGGCTGGTGACTCAGCTGGTTGGAGTGTCATCCCACACACCAAAAGGTTAGGGGTTTAATCACCAGTTGGGGTACACACCCAGGTTGTGGATTTGATCCCTGGTCAGAGCACGTATGGGAGGCAACTGATTGATGTTTCTTTCTCTCCCCCTTCCTCTCTCAAATCAATAATTATATTCTTGGGTGAGGATTAAAATATATATATATATATATATAAAATATATATATGTTCTAAATGTTAAAGATTGTCCAGTTGGCTTCTTCAAAATAAAATTCAGCTACATACTGGTTGTAAGTGACATGACTAAAATATAAGTATACACAAAGACTGCAAACAAATGCAAGAGTGACATTTCATAATGATAAAAATAAAATAAAATAAAGGTGGCTTGGGGGGAAGGAATAAGGACTGAAAAAGATACATATTGATTGCTCTATCACCTCATAACAAATTACCCCAGAATTAAGTGGTTTAAAACAACAAATACTTATAATCTCATAGTTGCTGCGGGTCTGAAACGCAGGCACAGTTTAGCTAAGCCCTCTGGCTTAGGAGCTCACAACGGCTGCAATTAAGGTGTTAGCTAACGGTGACTTTATCTCAAGGCCGGACTGAAAGAGACTCCACTCCCAAGGTCACTGGTGTGGCTGGTGGCAAGGCTCAGAAGATCCACCCCCAAGATCACTCACACAGCTGTTGGTAGGCCTCGGGTCTCTGCTGCTATTGGGAAGAGACGTCAGTTCCTTGTCTGATGGGTCTCTCCATAGGGGAGCTCCCAGCAGGTCGGCTGGCTTTCCTCAGAGCAAGCCAGGGAGAGGGAAAGAGAGGGTAAGCACAATGGAAGCCTGAGCCTTTTTGTAACCTATTCTCGGAAATGATATCCCATCACGTTTTGCCATACTAAATTTGTTATGTATGTCACTAGATCCAAACTACACTCAAGGAAAGATTACACTAAGGGATAAGTACCAAGAGGCGGGATTTGGAGACATTTTAGATACCGTCAACCATAGAAATAAAAACCAGAAACAGTCTTTGTCTGCTTATATGTAATTAATGTAGAAAATTCAAAAGAACCACACTAGATGCTTAGAATAGGAAAGTCTAGCAAGGTTGTTGGGTACAAAAATCAGTACACAAAATATACTACATGCATACATTATACACAACAAACAGAAAATGGAAATTTTAAAATAAACCTATTTATAATAGAATCAAACATCAAGAAACCTGTCAGTTAAATAACTGTTGATGCCAGGGATGAGTACTATTGCCTTTTACATATATTTGAAAGTTTTAATGTTTAAATTTTAAAACATATCAAATACCTAGGAAATCTAAAAAATACTTGCAAACCTTTACAAATAAACTTAATTATTCTTCTCACTTATTCTAAATAAATGAAGGTATAAACTATGTTCACAGACTAGAATACCTAATACTGTAAAGATAGCAATTATGTCCAAGGTGATTTATAAATTCAATACAAAGTCAAAATCTTAAACTGTATCTGTGTTTCTTTGTGTTTAGTTTGATAATCTGATATTAAAATTTCAACCAAAGTGGAAAAAGTAAAAAATTATTTGGAAATAGTCTTTAAACTTATTAATAATGCAAAGTAAAACCATAATGAGATACCAATACACACCCAGCACACTGACAACTCAGACTCTGGCGACAGGAAGTTTTGGTGAGGACACTAAGGAAAAGGAGCTCACGTGTGGGTGATGGAGTGTTCATTGGTACCACCACTGAAAAATTGGTGTGTCGATTTTCCAATTTCACACTTAGGTGACGGTGATGTTTTATGACCTCTCCATAAGTATGTTATATACTTAAAAGAAAAGTAATATTAAGGGGAAAAAAGGAAATGAACATATATTTCCAAAGCAATAGGAGAGGAGACTCTGGAAAGTAAACTCTATGTTGGAGAGCAAACTGAGTGAAAAGTAGATTCTTTGCTCTAAACAGAATTCTAAGGTTTGAGAATGAACACTGAAACAGTGAAAATTCTCATTACTTTATATAATTTGCAAAATAAGGTGGCATCCAACCTAGTACAAATACTTGTATCCATTTTTAAGCAAGCAAAATCTGAGTCAACTGTCCGAGGCATTTTGCTACAAAAGAACATGGGCAAATACCAGTGCAAGAGGGAAAAAAAAACAAACAAAGAACACAGCATGTCTATTAATGAGTTGTACTCTTTCTTTTTGGGTGGTTGCTCTCAGAAGCCTTCTACATACTACACAATCCAAGTGTTCCACTATTTGCAAAAGCATAACGCAAGGCAAAAGAAGCAGACAGAGCACCCTCCTAAAGGCAAGTACAAATCCCCAAATCTCACTTCTTCTTCTGTCACAGAAATAAGTGACTAATATGAGAACAGTGGCCAAGGCAATGTGATGTTAAGCATCTGAGGATATTCTCTAATTTAAATAAATGCCAAAAAACAAAAGTAAAGGGAAACATCATGCACAATATTTTTTTAAAAACCTGTATTTATTTCCATTCTATTCACTTTCAAATGGATGAAGAAGTTGGGGGAAATATGTGCATATTTATAAAGAAGGCAGTCTGATTTTACTTAACTCATTTGTGTTTTTCATGAACTAACAAAGAGTTAACTTAGAATCATGTCTAAAGGAACATATTCAGTTTTCCATCTCTAGCCAAGATTGAAATTATACCACTGCAGGCACATGAAAATCTACTCAGCTTATAGGTAAACACCAACTAATATATATATCATAAAAGAACGAGCTTTAATAAAATCTGTCATAGCACCCAACAAATTGCCAATAAAAGATGCAGCCATCATAACACAGGACATTTAAAAATCTTTGTGCAACAATGAAAAACAGAATTTACACATGAAATATCGTAATTGGCTATTAAGTCAATAGTATCACCGTAACAGTACCCAGTGTCTTATTCAAGTACATATACTATTTCTAAAACTTGGTTACAACAAAGACAACAGCAACTAAAATGAATATACAAATATTTCAAAAACACAATGAAAAATAACAAATAAAAATACCCTTAACTTTTCAAATAATTATAAACATGTTAACATTACCAATATATATTCATTTCATGTTTAATCGATTTGTACACTTTAAAAATAGCACTGAGTTTTAGAAAAATACTGATGTTGGCTCAAAGAAAACTTTTTGAGGTCAGATCATATGTATATTTCAGTAGTCTCTATGTTTTGTTCTTCCTTCTTCCAAAATCATACTCCCTAATCACTCATTTACTCAAAACAGCATCAGAGCTCTCTACCAGCCGTGGGAGGGTCACATCCGAAAACTTCTAGTTCTTTGGAATGGCTGGAAGGGGTTTTTTAGTGCCCATGTTAGCAGTTGTGGTTTTGGTTTTGATTTTTCAGGAAACAGAAGTGCCTCACTTTCTGGTGTAGGAAATCGTTCTCGGTAGACTTCAGGATAGGATTTTTGAAACTAAAAACAAAAAATATTCCACGGTGAGTCCATAATATGAATAAGAGCCAATAAAACTGGGCAATCTAATTTTAAAAGTTTCTAATCCCATATTTTCCTGTTTTCATTTTGTTTTAATGTTTATTGTTTTCCATCAGAAAAGAGAACAAAGACAAAAACAGATCACAAACAAATTTACTTCAACACAAATCCACTTCTTTATGTTAAATCATTTGATTCCATTTTCTATATATCTAATACATCTTTAATTTGGTCCAATCTTCAAATAAACTTCTCATTTAAGTGACACTTCTAAAAACTTACCCACTGCCAACAATAAATAAAGCTTACTTTTAAAGTACTCACAAGTAATCTGACTTGAAAATAACTAATGTTCTAAACAATTAAAGAAAAGTCTGGTCCAACTACATTTCACCCTTTCTCTGCATCTCCAACTCAGCCCCACCTGTTTCTGCCCAAATGAAAAACATTTTGGTATACATTATATTATGAAAAGCTTAAAAAGAGGCAATAAGTTTTCCTCACCATTGAACTCTTCTCCAAAATTGCTGAGAAAAACATGACTGAGAATCTACAACCCTGGTGCTCTGAGTATAACCTGTATGTACGGTTGTGATCAGGAATCAAGCTATGCAGGTGTCTGTCTTTAAAAATAAAAACCATTCATTTAATCTTGGATCAATATTTTAAGAATGGTCATAGTAAACTTATTTTGAGTTGAAAACTATTCTCTAAAACCCGGAGCCATGCTGTCCAACAGGAACTAAAAACTTAGTGATGCCGGAGGCAAGAAACCAATTTGACACTGGATACCTAAAACCAGAGGCTTTTAATTTCTAGACATTTTATAATTTCAATTCAGTCTGATTTGCCTTTCATAGAAATCTGTCCTTATTTAATAGCTCCTCTAAATTTAAAGTAATTGCTCCACTAACTCATATCATATGCCACGTATCAAAATAAAAGACAAACACTAGAGGATAAATGAAGAGTTCAATAATGATAAAAGGTCTACAGTGGAGAATAAAGATGTGGGAAATTGACCACAACCATGTAAATCAGTGAGACTTCTGGAATACACGAACTAAACAATACATTTTCAAAACTGCTACCTCAGAAGATGAGATTTGTTTGAAACCTATTACAATAGAGAATTTAAAAACATGTAAGAACAATAGGAAGAAGAAATGACTAATAAGGAATATCCCTTTTACCTGCTTCAGTTTTTTCTTCTTCTCCTTGCTAGAGAGTTTGGCATCTGTTATAACTTCCTCCAACAAATCTGCCAGAGGTTCCTGAGAGCCATACGCTCTTTGGTATTCGAATTCCTCTGGACTGATCTGACGGCAAAATGATGGAGCAGATAAGGTAATATCCATGTCGGCTCCTGGGTACTTTATCTGAGGGAGAAGAATTAAGGGAAAGAAAAAATTGAATTTCCAAATAAATTACAACAATGTGTTCGATCAAACACAGCATATCTCCTACTAGGAATGCCATACCATTTCTCAATTTGATTGGGGAACACTCCATATGAAAAAGTTCAAGTGTTTCCAGAACTTAAAAACAAAAACAAAAACAAAATAAAAAAATAAAAAACACTCAATGCCACAGTTTTAAATGACATTTTTGCCTTTTTACCATTTTAATAAACAAAACCCTCTTAATTAATACGGTCTTGAAATTGAAACATAAACTGAACATGTTGACTATAAAACAATTCAAAACAGTGATGATGTTGGACCCACAGTGAATTATCCAGGTTCCCTCCCCCACCCGAAGAGTCTGGTCCTCCCTCCGTTGGGGATGAACAGAGGCACACGTAGCTCAGCTGTCACACAGAGAGAAGGACTACAGCTTTCTCCAAACATGGAAAGAGTAAGAATCAGGTGAACACGAATGTGCAGATACTGCACAGGGCAAAGGGAGAAGAGAGCAATGAGAGGAAAGATGATACTAAGACATGTAAATAAATGAGCATCCATTAAAAATAATTAATTTTAGCCCTGGCCAGTGTGGCTCAGTTAATTGGAGTGTCGTCCAGTAAACCAGAAGGTCATGGGTTCAGTTCCTGGTCAGGGCACATGCCTGGGTTGCAGGTTCAGTCCCCAGTCAGAGCACATGCAAGAGGCAGCTGATCGATATTTCTGTCTCACATTGGCATTTCTCTCCCTCTTTCTCTTCCTCCCTCCCCCTCTCTCTAAAAATAAATAAGCATGTCCTCGGGTGAGGATAAAAAATTGTTTAATTTCAGAGTCCAAGAGGGTCATCTTCTCAAAAATACAGCACCTATTGTTCACCTGCAGTAGATAAAATTGCTATTATGTTCACTTTTCTGGCTTAAGATTTTTTTTCCCCAGAAGCCACAGTTAAATAAGAAATGTTGCCAAGGAGAGTTATTACATCAAGTACATTCCATGCCTCAACATCAGTTTGCCAGACCAGTTAGAGGCCACCTAGCACAAACCAGAACCATAAAGGAAAGGGGTATGTATACACAGGACCCTTCCTTTTTTGATATGGAGCAAGGAGTCCAGAAACAGCAGGGCAGGGCCAGAGTAAAGTGTGAGTCCTAAGAAAAAGGTGAGAGTCCTAGGGAAAAGTGTGAGTAGAGGGCAGAAGAGGAAGAGGAGGATTGCAAACAAGGTTGATAGTGGGTTGGTGGAAGAACACAAAACCAACCTCACAACTGACCTATCCCAGAGTCAGCCCAAAACTGCCCCAAAACAATTCACCAGGACAATCCAAGTAACACTGCCCATTTTCAGAGAAGCATTGCCCTGAATGTGTTAGGATGTAGGGGCTAAGCAGTCTATGTGAGCGAACAGAGATCTATAGGAGCTAAGCGCTGAAACAAACAGCTCAACGGCAATTTCACTGAATAATTCTAAGACAGAAAATGTAATTGGACAATTGAGCAGTTACTGATTTTATTCAGTGCCATCACAGTTAAACCAATCACCACAGCTCAGCCTTCTGATCTTGAACTGACAACTGACAGCAAAGGGCTGACAAGTACAAATTGCTGCAATAGATGCCTGTGCTATGTGAATACACAAGCCTAGCGAGTATACAGCGCAACATAGTTCTTACCACTTTTCCTGCCAGAAATTCAGTGAAGTATTTCTTTTTGTTTGTTTTTTTAAATTTGGCTCAGAAAAATATCAAGGAGAAGCAGGGAGATGAAACTAAAACAGCAATAAGATTATATTTTTCACCTATTGAAATGGCAAAGGTATGTATTTTAATGATAACACCCAAAGTAAGGAAGAGTGCAAAGACATGAACACTGTCTTATACCACTAATGGGAGTATAAATTGGAATGATCATTCTAAAGGGAAATTTGGCAATATGCAACCAACACTTAAAACACATTCAGGGCCATTTGACCATGCAATGCTGCTCCTAGGAATTTTTTCTTAGAAAATAATCATGGATCAACCAAAAAATAAAAAAATCTAGCTATAAAATATTTACTGTCATGTTGCTCACAAAAAAATAAAAATGGAAGCAACCTAAATATCAACCAAAGTAAATCATTTAAATAAATTATGGTATAAGCATATTATGGAACACTAAGTTACCAATAATAATGATATTGTGGAATAATAGTGATGATATGTCTACCAACTGAGAGCTTACTATGTGATAAACATTATTCCAAGCACTTGACATTTTAAGGCATTCAATACCCAAAGCAACCTAGGAGGTAGGTATTAACTATTATCATCCCACTGTACAAATGAAGAAAGAGAGATGTTGGGACAGATGCTGAAACAGAGACACATTACACAGTGTGTCCAAGGTCACACAGCTAATAAAGAACATGCCAGGAATTCAAACACCATTTAGCTCCAGAGTCTGTGCTCTTGGCCACTCTAGAGTCAACCAAGAATATTTAACAATATGGGAAATTTTTCTTGTTGCATTTTTAGGTGAGAGAAAGTAAGTTATGTGAGAGAAGAGGAGAGGAGACGAGAGGAGGGGGAGGGGGAAGGGAAGAGGAGAGGGGAGGGAGGCGAGGGGAGGGGAGAGGGAGGGAGGGAGGGAGAGAGGAAGGGAAGAAGGGAAAGAAGGAAAAAGATAACAGAAAAATACCTAAAAGACTAGTACTGACAGAACATTCAGTGTTACTCTGATATTTTTGGTGTGTATTTTCTGTATTTTCCAAATTCCTTCAATGTACTAGGTTAATAATGACCAAAATAGAAGAAATTTTTTTATTTTAACTTTTAAATTGCTCACTGGCAACAACTAAACAATTATTTACTTTAATAATACATTGGAAGGTAGCAGTTCACTGGGCCTTAATTAAGGAACCTCAAAAAGTGCTTAAGTGTAAAGAGGTCCAATCACTCAGAAGGAACCAAGCAGAATTTCTGCCAAAAGATTTCTTACCAAAAGTTTCTGCTTCCACAGGATGACATACAAACCCCACTGTGGGATCCACATAACAGTAATATATTACATTTCTTTTGGATTGTTTTAATGTAATAGCAGCAATGATGATAACACTCCATTTCAAACAGTACCTGCCACATGTCAGACACCATACAAAGGGTTTTGCAGTAATCCAAAGTATAGTATTATGCTGCAAAATACTTCACGACTACTTTATACAGCACATACGGTCCATTTTAACACTTAAACAGAAACTAAAATCTAGAGAGGTTAAGGGACTTGCTCAGAGCTACACAACCAGGGAAGAGAGCCAGGAATTTGACCCAGGTCCCTCTGGCTCTTGTTCTTCTACCACACCACATTGCACGTGAGGCAGTCTGGCGTGGTAGTTAGGAGCGCTAATTCTGGAGACCGATCTCATCAGTGTGAATCCTGGCTCTGTGAACTTGGACAAGTTGCTTAAGTTCTCCGTGCTGTAGTTTTCTCATCCAAAAAATACAAATATTAATTAACACTACCTGGGTTGCCGGGCTATTAAGAATCAAGACATGTATTTCACATAAGTCATTTCCATCAGGAAGTATATGTAGACTCTGAACAAATCCATTTAAGGAATTTGCAATCAAATGTATGTAGTTTCCACTGGTATAACACGACCAATCCACAAATTTTCAAGGATAACAAACTTGTAGTGCTTACTATGTGCCAAGTCTTGCTGTAAGAACCTCGTACATATAAATGCACTTAATCCTGGTAATATAAAGTCCCAAGAAGCCTACCAAGTTTACAGACATTCTGCTGACAATTTCATAGGCTCTGATAATATCCCTTCCTTTACCTGCACTCTTCGTAGGTGAGCTACATGCTCCTCTATGGAGGTCTGCAAGGCCAAAGGGACTTTCAGAATCTCTTGGTAATTGTCCATCAGAAATGTCACCAACCTAGCAGCTAATAACTCATCCAAGTCCACTTCATCCTTGGAACACAAGATGCAACGAGAAAATGTCTGAATCATCTGGAAAAAAAAAGTGGGGGAATTTTTAAATAAATACAGATGATTTTTGTGCAATATTATGCAAAGACTGTGCAAGCGAAATGCAAATAAAACAAGTAAGGGAGAAATGGGCCACAGCACAAGGTGCACTTCCTACCTAGCAAGTGGCCACACCTGGTCCTCTCAGATGGGCTGATTTCCTCATTAATCAGCATGAACAGAATGTGCGCATTGCATCCCACAGAGACTTAGCAGAGGTGCCTGTCTGAACAGCTTGTAAACCCCTTTCACACATGGTTTTAAATATATATTTATATTCAAAAAAATTCTGAAAATTATCAACATGACCTGAATCTTTGTAGCCATTTAGTATAATATCTTAATTTTATTATTGATATTTTTTTAAAAAATCTACTAACAGTCTGTGTTCCTCAACTGTAATATATTTTCCTACTTAACTGTTATTTTTCTCTAGGATTCTTGAATATACATTTGATAGTCACCTTTGAAGAAAACCGTTAGTACTTTACAAGAAATGCATTAAATGATGACAGTCTATATGATAAGCAGAAATATAAAAAGTATTATAGCAGGTGCTTCCAGAGAATTCATATTAACTACTCCATTCTTAATTCTATCCTTTGGATGGACTTTTTTTTTTTTCATCAATTTTATTGCTGACAATCTTATTTCAAAGCCTATAAGCATGTTAAATAAGATGTCACTTTATCAACACTGCAGATGATACTTTATCTTCACTCACATTTATGTGTACAGAGACTCTACCAAGAGACTATGGAGCCCAGGGAGTCCATGAATGCCTTACAATTGTATGCAAAATTTTACACATGCAATCTTCTGGAGAATACGTGCAAGCTTTTCTTCAGTTTTTCAGAAAGGTCCTTTAGCTTCCCTACCAATCTACCCCCAACCCCCTAAAAAAGGTCAAGAATTAGTCCACTGGGCACTGAGTACTCCTCTAATCTTACTCCCCACTTCTAAAACCAGGCCCGTAGACCCCTAGGTGCACAGGGGTTCACCAGGATATGAAAAGAAGATGCACATGCTAATAAAGCATCAATTTTACTCCAAGACTTGTTTTTCAGAGAAATTAGGAAATTTAGCTAGTGAGCGATTCTAAACATACACCCTATTTTAAAACATGCTAACATTACCAATTAGAATTCAAAATTACTCAATTTTAAGCAAAACTGAGAACAGTTTAAGAAAAGCCCTCACTCATGGACCCTTAGATGATACACCAGGAGATACAAGTTCTTTCTCCTTCCAAATTGTCTTATCCAACTCTGTATTTTACTTCTTCCCAATTTGGTTACACTTGTATATGCTGCATCTCTCCTACTGGTTATAGCAACAAAGGCTTCGCAACCCTCTGACCTGGAGGAGAGACTGTTGTTTTCTTGAGAGATCCCTTAGCCCCTCTGCCCACCCTTCCTTCGCTTTGTGTTACCCACAGGCAGGATCCCGCAGATATCCCTGCACTAGAGAGCCTACCCCTACTCGCTCTCTACTTTTCTTTATGTTAAGACACTTGAGACCAAAGCACAGTAGCATGTGCTTGGAATTCCGGGTGGATTCCAAGCCATGGCTCTTTAAGCAAGTCTGCCATGTACCTTCCTCTGGTTGCCAAGCTGGTGAACTTTACTCAGGTGAATTTTATTCCAAAAACTCAAGTCATGTTATGTGTTAGAAATCAACCTACCAGTGTCCGAGTGCCAAGACCATCACAGAGTGGTGGCATCTCCTTATTTAAGCAAATCCTTGTCATCATCCTCATCAACAGCTGTAACTTTCTCCTATTTTCAGGTGGCAGGAGGAGGCAGCAAACCTGAAATGCTTCGATGGCTATTTTCTCTTCCTGTAACAAACCTGATTTAGAGAGAAAGTTTTTAATCTTTAAAACCCTATAGGCTACTTGACTCTCTTATGTTCACATTTTTTACAAAATATATATTACTAAAATTATATAGAAAACGTTTACCTATTCAACTACACTGGGCCAATGGATTATACAGTAGATCCACTGTCACAAATCAGCACAGAAAATGCAAACCACCAACTAGTATTGACAAATAAACAGAACACAGAACAAACCACTTCCCCCTCCACACTCTTGACAGATATAACTAAATTTTCATAGCATTCTTCCCCACTGAACCAAGAACAGTCAGATTGAGCCTAACCAAATCCCTAACACAGTTAATAGGTCCAAGATAACATAAGCAAGAACATGAATGTGCCGCCATTGCCCTGAATCCTCCCCCTTGTATTATTTCCTCATGACAAGCTGTTACCATCTTACATGATTCTCATAGACTAAATAATAGAACTAATGCTCCTACGGTCAGTTCACCGCCAAACGGGTCTGCTTCTTTCTGAATAACACCTGTCCAATAATCCTTCCTCGTACTTAAGATCCTTTTTCTAGTTGAGGGAGCTGATTTAATTGTGTTCCACGCCATCCCTCCTCACCCAGTATGATTTTGTTAAAACTCAGGGTACTCTGACATTATGCACTCTCCACCCCCACCTGTCCCTGCACACAGCCACTGCAAGGCCACTGAAGAGCTGAAGCTGCTTTCACCAATTTACTGGTCCAGAGCCAACCTTTTCTAGCTTCTAGTCTCTGACTTGTAGGCAAAACCATCTTTTACATTTCGTAAATATTTTCTGACCATGTATGATACGCCAGGAACTATGGTCCTGGAATTATAAAAATATGCCAGCTTTCTTCCTCTGAAGAGCGTACTCACTGTGAGAAGGAGAGACCCACAAAAAACAAATGACCAAATGTAAGAGGTACTGCAAGAAACATCTGCAAGGGGCACATTAGGGGAACTAGAAGTCACTCAACACTAATGCAGTATAGGCGGTGAGGTAAGGGCTTAATACAGAAGTGAAGCTAAAAATATCAGCAGAGATGAGATCTAAAAAATCCTTGCATGGCAGATTAAGGAGCTTGGGTTTGATCCCAAGGCAGCTGATATGCATGGGAGAGAAAGGGGGCTGGAGAAGGGGGCTTTTGTGTACCAAGTTCAGATCCTAAATGTTCACCAGAAATATTGCCGCTGATTATCATTATCATCTATCTAGATCTGCTTTCAATTCAACATAATCAAATCCATGAAAAGGAAAAATGTTTATGCCCATATTTTAATTCATTTCTTCATGTATCTAACAAATATTTAAAGCCCTGTCTATATTTCAGGAACTGTTTTAGAAAGGATAGAATGAAGAATAAAGTAAAACCCTGTCTGATCTCATGGAGCTCCATTCCCAGCAGATAATAAGCAAAAAAATATATAAATGTGATCTGAGGTGAATAAATGTCATGAAAAAAATAAAGGACAGGAGCTGGGGGTGACGGGGAAAACTTCTAGTGTTTCGGGGAAGATCTCTTCCTTAAGCAGGTGACATTGGAGCAGTCATCTGAAGGAATGACAGTAAGCCAGGGAAACAGCAAAGAGACAAATTTTCAATGCGGAAGAAATATCAATTATAAAGATTTTGATGTGGGAGTGCGTTTGAAGTGTTTGAGGAACAGCAATGAGGCCAATGTGAAGAGAGAGTAAGGTGTAATGAATATGCAATCAGAAAAGAGGTTAGAGAGGAAGCCAAGAGGTACACAGGACCTTGTAGACTATCCTTAATGACTTCAGGTTTTATTATAAAAACCTAAAAAGTCACTGGAGAATTCCAGGCAATATATATGTGTGTATGTATATATGTATATGTGTACAACATATATATAGATATATAAGAACTGTCCGGAAAAAGTCCAGCCATTGTTAATATAAAGAAAACAGTTTGTGCAACATTGATATAACCTGGCAGCCAAGGAGAGTGGACTGGAATGTGTATGAATGAACAATGATGACTTCACTGTACTCGTCAGCAGGACGGTATATGCTAACTGAGTGAGCATGTGCACTATGTGGCCGCTGCACTCAAAATGACTGAGTACAGCAATGAATCTGCATCAATTTTGCATTAAGCTTGTACATTCCTCCATGGAAACTATTCAGATGATTCAGAAGGCCACAGCTATGGCCAACTGGTGCTTGGCAGCTTCATCATAACAATACACCCACTCACACATCATATCTCTTGCAGAGCATTTTGGTAAAACATCAAATCACCCAGGTGACTTAGCCCCCCTACAGCCCAGACTTGGTGTCCTGTGACTTCAGGCTTGTCCCAAAACTAAAATCACCTTTGAAAGGGAAGAGATTTCAGAACATCGATGAGATTCATGAAAATATGACAGGGCAGCTGATGGCAACTGGGGGAACTGTGTGAGGTTCCAAGTTGCCTACTTCGAAGGGGACTGAGGCATCACTGTCCTATGTCCAATGTTTCTTGTATCTTGTGTCTTCTTCAGTGACTGTCTCTATTTTTCATAGTCCATGGCTGGATGCTTTCCGGACAGGCCTCAGGTATTTTTTACATATACATGAAACATAGTAAGATAAGGTGAAATCTGGCTCTATGATTAGAAATACAAGGGATTTCTGGGCTAATGTGATAGACGGCTTCATGGAAAAAGTAGAAAGCTTTATAGAGAATTATATACAGAATTTAATTACTTCTTACCAGCCCCAACTAGTACTTCATCTGAACTTTGCATCTTCCTTTCTCTTCATTACCCCCTTACAGTCTATTTGCCATACTAGCTGCCAGAGTACAAAGTAATTCAGAGATGATAGAGGAATTAGCCACACAATGTTACATATTCATAGGTATTCTATGTTCACATATTTAAAATAAATTTGAACACAGTGAGGAGAAAAATGGAAAATATAAAAGAGAACCAAATGGGTTTTCCAGAGTTGAAAAATACTAAGCCTCAAACATTCATTGGATGAGAACTATAACAGATTAAACAGTACAAAAAAGAAAATCAAGAAACTTAAATATACAGTAATATAAACCAGCCAAAATAGAAGCAAAGAGAGAAAAAACAAAGTGGGGGCAAAGGATGAACAGAGCTGCAGCAACCTGTAGAAAAATACCAAAGGTTTTAGAAAAGGAGAAGAAGGTATAGAAAAAATATTTGAAGAAATGATAGCCCAAAAGTTTCCAAATTGGATGAAATCTATACATAAACAGAACAAAGAAATTCAACAAATCAAAGCACAATAAACAAAGAAAACCAAATAAAGGCACGATATATTTAAATTCCTAAAAATCAGTGACAGAGAAAACCTCAAAAGTAGTCAGAGGGGAAAAAAAGACACATTATATTCAGAGGAACAAAAATAAGGAATCACCACAGGACTTTTGACCAGAAACTATTTCAGCCAGTAAACAAGGGACTCACATCTGCAAAGTGCTAAAAGAACAAGAAAATTTAACTTAGAATTCTGTGTTTATTTAAATATCTTTCAGAAATAAGTCAAGACTTTTCAGAGCCATCCCCCCTCAAAACAAGAGAATTTATTTTCCAAAAGACCTATAATACAAAAAATGTTAAGGATATTTCTCACGCAAAAAGAAACTGATAGCAAATGAAAGTCTGGATTTACTCAAAGGAAAGGAAAATACCAGAAAAGATTAATATGTGGGTAGATAAAACTTCTTTTATTTTCATTAATTTCTTTGAAAAGAAAATTGTCAGTTTAAATAAAAAACAATAACAATGTGTAGGAGGGTTTATAACATGTTATTAAAAAACATATGTAGGATTAAATGTATGAAACAACAGTACAAAGGGCAACAGAAAGAAAATGGAAGAATATTATTACAACATAGTAACATTATATGTGAAATAGTATAATACTTAAAGGTAGGCAAAGATGTCCTGGGACACAAAAAGACATGAACCATAATAGAAAACGATAAAATGAACTTCATCAAAATTAAAATTTTTTGCTTTTTAAAAGACATTGTTAAGAAAAAGAGCACTGATTGGTGTGGATTGGTTGAGTGAGCCCCGGCCTGCAAACCAAAAGGTTGTCGGTTTGATTCCCAGTCAGAGCACGTGCCTGGGTTGCAGGCCAAGTTCCCCAGTTGGGATTGTGTGAGAAGCAACCGATCCATGTATCTCTCGAACACTGATGTTTCTCTCGCTCTCTTTCTCCCTCCATTTCCCAATCTCCAATGAGCTTTTCATTTGCAATAAATTTTTTAAATAAATTTAAAAAAAAGAAAAATTTCAAGACACATAACAAAAGATATATGAATGTCCATTAAGCAAATGAATATGCATCCAACATACCTAGTCATCATAAAAACGCAAATGAAAACCAAAGAGATATATATACCATTACAAACCCTCTGACATGGCTACAATTTAAAAGATTGATGATGTCAAGTGTTGAAAAAGATGTGGAGCTACTAGAAGGCTCATGTATCAGTGATGGGATTGTAAAATGACACAACCATTTTGGAAAACAGCTTGTCACTTTCATATAGAAGTAAATATACATTTACCATATGATCCAGCAACTATACTTCTAGCTATTTTCCTGAAGGCATATACTCATACAAAGTCTTACACATGGATATTCACAACAGCTGTGCAAAAACGTTTTAGTTTGATGTAATCCCATTTGTTTCTTTCTTTTGTTTCCCTTGTATGAGACCTAAACATGAAAGAAAATCTTATAAAAAAAATTTCATGAGACACACAAATTAATTCGTCCAAAGTAAAACACAAAAGCTCTGTACCTTGTGATTAAAATCACAGACAAGCCACAGACTAGGAAATGATATCTGTCAGACAGAAGGTAAAAAGGATTAGTATTATAGGATTATATATGAGGTCTGTCCAGAACGTATCCAGCCATATAATATGAAAAATAGACACATTTATTGAAGAAGATACAAGATACAAGAAACATTGGACATAGGATCATGATGCCTCAGTC